CCGGTGAAGTGCAACCCAAATGGACCATGCCGGGTCGGGTCAAGTACATACCAAATATAGTTAAGGACTTAGACGTTAATCCAACAGTTACATGGATGCTATGTGGTTGGAAGCGCTGGAAAATGCCTTCGGTTACAATCCTAGCATCAAATGCGACTGTAATTTCCCTAATTCTATTTTCCACATCACCCAACTGTGAGTACTTATCTTCCTTCTTTCCCTTTCAAATATATAACTCTGTCATGTTGGAATAAACTTTTATAAACTTGTTACTTATTTGTATTCTACTTATCTTCTAACAATCATTCTCATCCTTCAAATAATCAGAAAGCTTATTGGAATGGATGTTGTGGGTCTAATCCCAGAAGGACTCTGGACTTTGACTTACCTTACAAATCTGTATGTATGCGGCTGTTTCTTCACTAAACTGTTAACTACTATTGAAAGTTAACCCCAGATTATTTGACAGGTCCCTTGTTACCTTCCATTGGCAATTTAACTCAGATGCAGATCATGTAAGCCATCCCTTTTTGATACTTTCAACTTAATTAATATTTTTAACCTCTATATATTTAAGAATACATCTGAGATTTCAGATATATGATGATAATCTCAAATTTTTTATAGGAGTTTTGGCATCAATGCGTTATTAGGGCAGGTTCCACGAGAGCTAGGACAACTTACTGATCTTATATCATTGTATGTCTCTTCCTATTTTGTTTGTGTTTCTGCCATCAAGCAATAACTTTTTCTATTTAATTCATTGTGTTTCTGCGCTCCTAATCCCACGGGTGTTGATCTAACACTTGAACAATGGGATCAAATAAGACAATTGATTAGATGCAAAAGTCTCTTACCATTTTTTTGATAGTGCATATCAGGTGAGTTTTAAACTCTTATGTTTAAAAAAAGACTATTTATATTTAGTGCTAAAGATTTGGCTCTTGAATTTTTTAGGGTTTTGCAAGTGGAAGTCTGTATAAAGATGCTCAATTTGTTTGTGTGTTTGTTGGTGATGGTGGTGAATTTTTTTATAGCTCAAAGTTCTGCTAAAAATAAGGGCCTTTATTGGGAAAGAGTTGGTGCTTTGAGCGGTGTAAGTCATCACCTTTTCACATATATCTTTTCTGTTTTCTATAATGAGGATAGTGAGGGCATTAACGTCTTTTGTACATACCTAAAGATTAAGCACGAGTCATGTCCCACCTTCT